TAATGGATAAATGTTGTGTTTGTGGTAAACAGCCACGGATCAGTAGCGGACTCCTGTGTGAAAGGTGCTTCCCCTCTCACAAGAGTCACCTAAGAGGGGAATTTCCCCCATTTTCAAAAATGAAATTCAGGCCCTGAATAATGTCTAAAAATCCTGATTGGAGTATCACTATAAATAGTTATAAGTTATAGAAAGAAGGCTTTAAAAAGATCGGTATTGGTGATCGGTATTGGCAGATACTGCTTTCTGTGATCAGCGATCGGTGATCGGCCTCAAAAATCATGATCGGAGCACCCCTAGAAATGTTGGATGATCCTGTTCCCCTTAATCAGTGCATGATGAGAAACGTCGCGCAATTTAATTTGACCACTTTAAGCTTCTAATATAATGTGATATGTAATTAATTAATTTACATTTAAAGGGGTCCTATTATGCTCTTTTACAAAGTCTTGATTTTGTTTTGGGGGTGTACTAGAACATGCTCTCATGCTTGGTGGTTCGAAAAACGCATTATTTTTCACATAATTTACATTATTAAAATACCTTTCTCCCCTCATGCACACTTGCAGCGCACACACATAATGCCAGGTTCACATTACTCTGTTTGCAGTGCGTGGTATGTTCGGGCGTATTTTTTCCGCGCTCATGTTAATGGATTAAAGCATTCACATTGCACACGGCAGTGCGTTCAGGAGCGGCGCGTCAGTATTGGCAGATACTGCTTTCTGTGATCAGCGATCGGTGATCGGCCTCAAAAATCATGATCGGAGCACCCCTAGAAATGTTGGATGATCCTGTTCCCCTTAATCAGTGCATGATGAGAAACGTCGCGCAATTTAATTTGACCACTTTAAGCTTCTAATATAATGTGATATGTAATTAATTAATTTACATTTAAAGGGGTCCTATTATGCTCTTTTACAAAGTCTTGATTTTGTTTTGGGGGTGTACTAGAACATGCTCTCATGCTTGGTGGTTCGAAAAACGCATTATTTTTCACATAATTTACATTATTAAAATACCTTTCTCCCCATCCTGGCACAAACGGCTCGAT